CTTGTGTTAATTAACCAATGTGGTAACTTTCAGTTTTTTTACTTCATTACTTTCCATTTCTTCCTCACTTGATTCAAGTTTATCTTTTGTCTCTAGTTATTAAGACTATTGTCACTAAGTGCCAAGTTGAATAGAGATACTTTATTTCAAACCTCCTATTAATCCATATCTCTGTTGCATTTGACTCACTTTTTAAAATTATTTATTTTACTTTATTTATTCATTCATTCATTTATAATTTGACCAGAGAGACATACCCAGACAGAGAGAGAGAGAGAGAGAAGGTGAGAAAGCAAGCCAACAGGTCCAGGATTTGAACCGTGGTTAGCTACATGGGAGCATCCAGCATCTTAACCACCATGCCACCAGCTAGTCCCTGACTCTTTCTTTATAACCCAGTATTCTGTTACCTTCATTAGCTCCAGTCACTTCTGGTTCTCCTCAGGAGGCCTGACATTTCATTTAAGTCTTCTTTCTCCAAGCCTTCTCTTTCTCTGCTTCTTCACACGAGTTTGTATTCCTCAGACATTCAGCTTCAGCTCCCCTTCTCACTCTACATGCTTTCCTCAAGCCATCTTACTCACAGTCAGAGTTTCCGTCGTCATCTGATCTGTAAGCTCCTACTTCCAGCTGTTCAGAATCTACGCCTGGATGTGCCACTGATGTCTTAAGCCCAGTGTATTAAAAACCAGATTCACTTTCCTTTCTCTGAAAGCTGCTCTCCTTCTGCTTGCTTCCTTCCTTCTTTCCCTGTTCTCAAGATACCCAGGCTTGAATCCTGTTTCTCCCCCACCTATTAGTGCATATTGGGATACTGTGTAAACTTCATTATGAGTGCTATCCTTAGAGATTACTTTTCAAAATGGCTTCAGTTGGAACTTTGGCAGGTAGATTCTGAAAAGACGCCCCAACTGATTCTGACATTTGCCTCTTCGTGAAGGACCGCCTACTGACATTTTAGTTAACTGCCAAGCTCTGCTATTTCTGACCCCCGAGTATTTCTTGAAATTGTGCCTTCTCTGTGTGATTTTTGTATTTGTCAGTATACATACTGTGAGAGGTGGTGAAGTCAGACATGGCCTTTTCACTGATGGTGAGGTTTTGTTGTTTATTTGTTTGTATGTGTGTGTTTGTGGGTTTTGTTGTTGTTGTTGCTGCTGTCAAGCAGTGACATGGATAGATTGGCTTTTCCTTGGTCCTTGTTCCAGTGCCTGATCACTGTAGCCACATGAGTGTTGAGAGGCAGAGGGAAGGAGCACGTAGGGCAACAGTGTATTTGATGGTGTTGACTTAGCAGGGGAACTTTCAGTCTGAAACCAGCGGCCGAGTCTGTGCCACCTGCACACAGCATAGGTCCTCATTGAGAGGTAGATGGCATTTCCAACCCTGCAGGCCAGTACTGCCTTTTTTCTTCTGGGAGTCATTCCTCGAGAGGAAATGTAAGACCCATTCTTTCAGCACTTGATCTGCTCTAAGTAGTAGTGTGATTTCTCACTCCTGAACCTGAACCCAGATTAGTGTACACACCAGGATGACATAGAAAAATATCTGGCTTTGGAACAAAAAAAAATGTTCTGATTTAATCAATCTTGTTTCTTCCCTTCTGTATCTGTTATGTGGCTTCTTTGTAGATGCCAATGAAACCTCTGGACGCTCATACAAAACCATTGTCTAACTGTGATTAGCACTGATTGAACTCGGAGACTTGTATAAATTATGGCAGCAATATTTCAATTTTCTGAAAGCAGTCACCAGCCTGGTCACGATCATGGTTCATTTTAGGGAGTGGCATGTGCGGCACCTGGTTTATTCCAGCAGTGACAAAGTAGCATTTACTCTGCCCTGTAACATGCCACTCTGTGGGTAGCATTGGTGTATCAGAGCTAGCTGTCCAGGCTGAATATCTGAGAGATTTTTTGTTGTTGTTGTTCTTCCTTTCCTCTGGCTGGGTTTTTCTTTGTATTTGGAACCCTAATGCATGCTTTCTAATATTAGCCCTTTAACACGATATAAAATCTTTTTGGCTTAGAATGGTCTTTAAATTAAACAAAAGTCAACATGATTGGAATTACTCTGTTAGGCCAACAGTCTCCTAACAAATGTTTTTCAGTATTTGGATTTGACTGTAATGCAAGTTTTCCAGGAACTCTATCTTTGTTCTGTTTTTAATAATGTTTCTAAATGACCCTTCAAGTTTGTAAGATTGTAGTGTTTGGTATTTTTTAACAAATTTGCACAGTCACATACCAATTGTGAAGATGATAAGTAATAGCCAGGAAGATATGTAGTCTAACATCACGAATAGGGTTAAGAGAAGACGAGGATCCCATATTCTAGAGAAACCTCCTGATTCCTTAAGTATGATCTTGTCAGATTGAAAATATTCATATGTAGCATGGAATGCTTGAGGATATATATGAGGATTATACATATGTAAACATATATAAACTTTAGAACGTGACATTCTGTTTTTATAATTATCTAAGTCTCTTCTTTCTTAATACAGTAAGTAAAGCAATAACTACCTACAAGAATTGTACAGATTTCATATCATAATGAGTCACTTTGGCCATTTGGATTTGGGTTTGGATGTCCTTTGGATTAGTTTTACTTGGCGTTATGTCGGCCACCGCTGAAGATGTAATATCTAGAGTAGGCTAACCCTCGTCATGAACTTAGTTAAAATAGGACTTTCAGCTTCCACTATAATTTGGACACTGGGCACACAAAGATGAATAAAACAGCCCTTGACTTCAAAGAATGTGAACTATAATCACAGACAAAGATAGACAAGCAAATAAATGCAATGAGATCATACTTATGGCTGTCATTTTTTGAAAGCTTCCTAATAGTCAGCCTAGTGCTTGGCACTTCAAGTTCTATTGGGTCATTGGAAAAGTCATGATGTATTTTTCTATGCAAAAATGGGTGATGATTTTTCTGGTGACCTAATAGTTGGGACTCAGATCATTGAAGAAACTAGCCCAAGGTCACAGGGTTAGTAGTAGAACTAGATTTGGATCCAAATCTTTTTTTTTTTTTTTTTTTGAGAGGTTTTTCGCTACAGGGCACGTGTGCTTGCCAGACAGAGAGAGACATAGAGACAGAAAGTGAGAAATCACCCCCCAGGGGGGATGGTCACACCGCAATCCCTTCTCCTCCATTCTCCTCTCGGGATCTTGGGCATGCACGCACACACACCCAGCATGAGTTTTAAGCCACCGGGTCCAGGACGCGAACCGCGGTCGACTACGTGGAAGTCCAGCGACATAGCCATTACGCTAACTGCTGGTTCCCTGGATCCAAATCTTTACCCAAAGTGTTGCCTTTATCCTTTGCTATTCATACACGCTCTGTAGAAAAGGGAGATGGAAGGTTGGAAGGTGGGGGGAGTTTGATTCTCTTGGTATGGGGGTGATAGTTGAACCAGAAACTTGGTATGGGTTAAGCAGAAGCAGAGCTTATATGTCAAGTGTGCAGATAGTATGAGTAAGACTTGGAGAGATTCGAATACTCATGACATTTTTCAGATGAACAAGTTCACTGTGACAAAATCTCTCTTTAATGTGTGTGTGCATTCTGCTTCGCTCTTTCTTGGAATGGACACAGAGGAAGTTTGTACCCGTTCACCCAGGGGATCACACTGCACTTCTTTGTAAATAACTACTGTGTTCATCTTCAAGTTTCTAGACTGAACTCCACCTGGTCTTACAAAACAACAGCAGCAATAGCTACTGTGTTTTACATATCTGAAGTTCACATTCAGGCATTTTACATACATTTAGGTTAATCATCATACTAACCTTTGAAAGGGATTTTTGTTAGAGGGTGTGTGTGCTTGCCAGAGAGACAAAGAGAGACAGAATTAGAAAGTGAGAAATCACCATCACCCCTCAGGGATGACCATGCTGTAAACCCTTCTCCCTTCTCTTCTCTGGATTTTGGGCACACACACACACACACACACACACACACACATACGCACATGCACACACACACACCCAGCAAGAGTTTCAAGCCGCCAGGTCTGGGACTCAAACTGCAGTCAACCATGTGGGAGTCCAGTGACATAACCATTGCATCATCTGCAGCTCCCCAAAGAGGTATATATATATTTTTTAAACTCAGTGTCAGATGAAGCAACTAAGGTCCAGAGAAGTTAGGTAAGTAGACCCAAATCAGTGGCCAAGAGGTATATTCAGTGGTTGAATCTTAGAATTTAAACTGTTTGCTCTATTCCAAAATCTAGACTGTTATTTCCTTTTTGGTAGCTGGCTTATTCTAAGCATTCAGTTCAAACGAGGTTCGAATCCTGGCCAGAGCCTTAAAAAGTATGCTGGATACATGTGCATGCTTGCCCCAAATCCTGGTGGGACAAAGAATGTGAGTGCCAAAGGATTGCAGTATGACCACATCCCATAGGGTGGGGTGCTTTCTCTCTCTCTGAGCATGTGTATGTCCTCTGGCAACTAGGGACAACAGAAAGTACCTGGCAAACCATAGATACGTCATGCTTATTGTTGCTATACTAACATTACCACCACTGTTTATTATTTCAGAAATTTGGACTTTAATTATGGATAGAATTGTATTAGAAGTCAGTTGATAGTAATTATGATAGAAATGGTTACATATTGCTTTATTATGTGCCAGGCACTAACATTTTATATCTATTAACAGACTTGGTTCCCATAACTGCACTGTGAAGCAGGCGCTGGTATCATGCTCTTTTTACAGATGAAAACACTGAGGTCTAGAGGTTAAGGAACCTACCCATGGGATCCAATGGAAGTGATTGGACTAGGATTAGTAGATTCTGGAGAATTTTCCTCTAAAAGGAAGCCTTAATCATAGGCTTCTTGTGTGCCAGTATTTGGATTTTTCCACAATATGTGTAGAACAATTTTAGGATGGTTAACATGAGCTAATATGTTTTATAAATTGTTTTAATGCTCCATTAACAGCATGAAGCTCTAAACAATGTCTCTCTCTAATTTCAGCCTGTGAAGTTGAAGCGGGGAAAGTATACCAGGTCTCCTCAAAGGAGCACATGCAACCTTTCAAAGAGAACATGGAACAATTTATTATTCAAGGTAAATTCCGAATAGATGTGTTATGTTTTCCTCTCTTCTCAGAAAAAAGGTAGAAGACTTTTTTTTTTTTAAATATACATTTAAATGAATTATTTTGACATTACCGATTAAACATGTTAGGTTTAATCACAAGTCAGCATTGTGAGAAGCTAGCGTTTACTAAACATGCTATTTGTGGGTAATACTCATTATTTATTTATTTGCGTGAGAGTAAACATACTATGTGTTAGTTAAAATAGCTTGTATTTGTAAAGACATTAAAAATTCTAAGCTTTTTGTCATAGAGAATTAGATATTCTTTTAAGTTGCAATCATGCTTATGACCTCAGTTCAGTCTGGTATTTATTTGGTTTGTCAAAACATTGTACCCAGAGAACAAAGTATATTGATTTTTTTCAGATCTTCAGAACCTTTTTGCTGTTTTTTTTTCTATAGGCTACATGAATACCTCTGGATATTTAACACCTTTCTTCCAGGGAGCTTAAAATCTTTATAAATATTATCTTACTGACTCTTCCTACA